CATGAGACAAGTGCTCGGGCCTGGTGCACTGGGAAGACCCAGAGGGATCGGGTGGAGAGGGAGGTGGGAGGGGGGACTGGGATGGGGAATACATGTAAATCCATGGCTAATTCATTTCAATGTATAACAAAAACTACTGTAATGATGTAAAGTAATTAGCCTCCAACTAATAAAAAAAATAAATAAATAAAATAAAATAAAATAAAAAAATAACTTAAATTGTGCGTTACTCTTTCACACCGACATTTTGTATATGAATTTTCGTGTAACAACACAGTTTTCATGTTTGTCATAATTATATCTTTTGCGGTGTGTCAATACACCCTACACGATAGTTTTGTCAGAGATTGTTTTACTGTGCTGTTTGAAGATTAACTCACATCTTTGAATATGAAAAAAAGATCATTTCAACAAACATTACTTTATTGTGTGCTTTATTCTCCTAGCCTAGAGTCCTAAAAATAAATATATCCACATATACTTATCACTTGTTTTAAAGCTCATATTCTACACTGTCAAACTGCTATCAAATAAAACTGTTTCTGCAAGATCTCACCAATACTGCTTCACTGTCGTTATTCATTTTACTAGCTTAATAAATATTGTTGTTGTTCAGTCACTAAGTCATATCAGATTCTTTGTGACCCCATGCCCTAAAGCGCCCCAGGCTTCCCTGTCCATCACCATCTCCCTGAGTTTGCTTAAACTCACACCCACTGAGTTGGTGATGCTATCCAATCATCTCATCCTCTGTTATCCCTTTCTCTTATAGCAAAATAAAATTACTGGTAGAGTTATTGAAATGGAAAATTATTTCTATCATCTATGATTACAGCAAATCTTCTGTATTGTTACTTCTTACCCACCAATATATTTAATAAGTAGACATTTATAAATGAAGCATATGGTTCCTTTTGATGTCACAAAAGTTCAGGGCCATTTTCTGAATTTGTGCCCCATGGAGAAGCATGTAGCCTAGACCTGTTTGCACAGAGCACTGATTACCTTACTTTTTTCTCTTCTCCTGTTACCTTTTCCCATGCTCCCCATGCCTCAGCTCTATCATGTAAATACCCCAAGCCTTTAGCCTCAGGAGATACGGATTTGAGATTTGTTCTTCTCACTTGGCTGCCTCGAGTATAAACCCTTTCTCTGCTGCAAACCATGGCATCACAGGATTTGGCTTGCTGTAAATCAGGCAAATGAATCTGGTTCAGTAAGGTATGAAAACAACCTGTGTCTGTTGATGCATGAATGGATTACGATGTTGTGGAATAAAAACGCAAAGGAACATTCAGTTCAGTTCAGTTCAGTCGCTCAGTCGTGTCTGACTCTTTGCAGCCCCATGAGCCGCAGCACACCAGGCCTCTCTGTCCATCACCAACTCCCGGAGTCCACCCAAACCCATGTCTATTGAGTTGGTGATGCCATCCAACCATTTCATCCTCTGTCGTCCCCTTCTCCTCCTGCCCTCAATCTTTCCCAGCATCAGGGTCTTTTCAAATGAGTCAGCTCTTCGAATCAGATGGCCCAAGTATTGGCTTTAAAAAAGGAGCTCCTGCCATTGTGACAAAACATGGATCAACCTGAAGGATATTATGCTAGATGAAATAAGCCAGACACAGAAATAAATATACTGCATGATCTCACTTACATATAGACTCTAAAAAAGTTAAATTCATAGAAATAGAAAGCAGAATCATTGCTACCAGGGTGGGGAGATGAGGGTAAGGGGAGATGTTTTCAAAGAGCCCAAAGTTGCAGTTATGTAGGATTAGTGAGGTCTAGAGATTTAATTATAGCATAGTTAATAATACTGTATTATATACTGGAACTTTGCTAAGAGAGTAGACCTCAAGTGCTCTCATCATGAAAGAAAATGCTGGAGATGGATATCTTAATTAGCTTGATTGTAGTAATCATTTCAGTATATACACGTATATCAAAACATCATGTTGTACACCTTAAATATATACAATTTAAATTTAATAAAAGGCAATTAATACACAAAAATAAATCTAGCAAAAGATTTGGGAGATGATTACTCAGAAGAATGCAAAGTGTTATTGAGATAAATAACAAAAAAGTGGAGAAATATACCATATCTAAGACTTAGAGGACTCGATATTGCGAAGAAACCCATTCTCTTCCAAATTAATCTAGTTTCACTGCAATACACTCCAAAATCCTAATCAGTCTTTTTTTTTTTCCCAAGAAATTAACCAGCCAAAATGGAAATGGAAATTGAGAGTCAAAAATAGGCAAAGAAGTACTAAGGAAAACTAAAGAATATAAACCATGTAACAATGCCATTAAAAGATACAGTAATTAAAGAGTGGAGTATTGACGCAAGGATCAACAACTGAGAAATGAAACAGAATAGAGTCCAGAAACAGATTCATGGAGGTGCAGTCATCTGACTAAAGGGAAATACGGCAGGAAAAAAGATGGTCATTTCAATAAATGGGACTGGATCAGTTAGATATCAATATTTGTGGGGGGAAACATATCTTCTTGATCTCTACCTCACCCAATATCATAATCAACACTAGATTAATAATAGGCCTAAAGGTTAAAGGGAAAACAATAA